GAGAATGAAAAAGTAGGAAAAAGAATGAGGGTATATAGGTATATTTATTGAAAAAAAATCTAAAAATGAAAAGAGAGACATGTATTGGAGAACATCCCAGAATGGAATAAGGGACATGTATAAAATCTTTAAATTTTAGCTGAATTAAAATAAAAGATATAGAATTATCAAAAAAAAACAAATTAAGAATTGAAAACAAAAAGTAACAAAAAAAGTTAAAATGCAAAAAAGTAGCCAATGTGCGGGCAACTAAAAGTACGGAGTACTAAAAGTCTAAAAACTCACAAACATTTGGAAGACTAGAATGATAAAAGCTCAAGTTCTCCAAAAACAAAACCTCACGCGGACGGTTTACGAAATGAGAACAAATGAGTTATTTTCTGTCGTACAAACTATTGGTGAAGTTTGTAAGAAGATGGTTGAGCTTAAACTTCACAATTCTTTTCACTTAGTATATCGTCTGATTGAATTGGCTTTAGTGTTACCAGTTGCAACGACCATCGTTGAAAGAGTTTTATGCGATGAATATTATCAAGACAGATCTTCGCAATAAGATGAGAGATGACTATCTTACGGATTGCTTGGTGTGCTACATCGAGAGAGATGTTTTTAGAAGCATCGATAATGAAACTATTATGCAACATTTTCAGAATATGAAAACTCGTAGGCTCGATTTACCAAAGTTGCAGCAGTGAACTATTTAATATGTAATTATATAATTTAATACATTTTTTTACCATTTTTATTACATTTGAAGTTTTTATTATACACTAACTTTGGTGTCTAGTGTGCCCCCGCTCTCACAAATATCTGGGTCCGCCACTGGTCTGGTCTGGGACTCAAAATAGTACAAAAGAAACGATTCAAGTCCTATAAAGATTCAAGTTTTAGATTTAGATCAGAGATGCTGCATTAAAGTAATAGATTTTACAAGAGTTATAAAATTGAAACGATTGATGTAAAAAACGTAATTAGATCTAACTATCAGTCGATATAATTGCTGCATTAAGTGTTGGTTTCAGGTAGATCTAACGTGGTGGAGTAAAACATTGTGTTTGAAATAATGAATAAGGATGTTTTCTTTTTGGACTGAAATTTGCTGGTCTGGTCTGGTAAATGTCTGGCCTCTGTGTAATTTATAAATACGGAAGTCAAGTCTGATCTGATCTGGTCTGATATGAGATTGAAAACAGTCGAAAAGAAAACATCCTAAGATCAAAAACTCAGAGTATCATAACCCAAATTAGATGAATAATGATTTACTTGGATTACTTCGCATATAAGAGAATGAGAGAATCTCAAAAATTTCGTGACATTTCTTGAGATCTACATGTGTCACTATAAAAAAAATGGGATTGACAGAGTTTTAAGGTAAGGATTCTCCAAAGTTAATAGAAGATTTGTACCAAATCCGTGTCAAAGCTATTTGGCACGAAATTATCGGGTAATCCGTGTAAAATCCGTGTCAATCCCATATTCTGTTGTATGTAGTATGGAACTATGGATCTACACATGCTCACTAACAGATCATGTATGTACAACAAGCATGCTAGCGCTTTCTCTCTCATTTCTCTCTATCTACACGATATGGTTGTACATGTGGATAAAATTATTGAATTTGTATACGGAGGATGTTTCCTTTTGGACTGAAATTTGCTGGTCTGGTCTGATCTGGTCTGGTTTATTTAAGTCTGGTCTGGTCTGATCTGGTAAACGTTTGGTCTCTGTGTATTTTATAACTATCCAAGTCTGGTCTCGTCTGGTCTGATATGTTTAAGTCATGTCTGGTCTGGTCTGGTCTGTTTAAGTCTGGTCTAGTCTGATCTGGTCTGGGACTGAAAACAGTCCAAAAGAAAACATCCAGAGTACTAGTTTTCGTGGCTGTCATAGGCAAAATATGATTTGAAATCCCTATCTCAAAATGGAATTTTTTTAAACATGTATGATCCGTGCTATTTAGGCGTGTGACCTAGCTTGTAGGTTTATACAACGTTGGTAATGGGTCAAATAACTACTTAGAACAAGTTATAAGCGGTCTCTAGCAAGTCATTATGATTGTCCATCTTATATAAATGTCTAGACGTAATCTATGTAGTAATTTCTTGTGGCAATTAGTTCCATTTTATCAAATGATATTTTGATTGAGAAAAGATTGGGTCCATATTATCCTTGTTTTTATCAATAGTTGTTTCTTTACTTCTAAGTAGGACTTACATTGACAAGTGACACCTCATTAGTACATGATCATCCTATTTAGTCTTACTTATCAAAGGCTCCAATAGATGTCTTGCTCCAGCAATAGTAGAAGGACAAAAATCATCTCGACTATAGAGGGTTCAAAATATGTCTAATTATTATATTTATAATTATCCGGTTATAAGTAACGTTGAATGATATGGAAACATATTAATTCTCATGTTGATAACCATAATGTCTCGAGTATAATAATATAACACATATCATCCTTTGCAATATCTTCAAGGTTGGTATGAGAAGTAAACTTGTTCTATAACAAACATCAATGTAATTAGATTGATATCTCTCTATATGCATAGTGGAGTATAGTCATAAAAGCTAGTCAACATTCTTTTTTATCAATTGTCGATGTTTCATAATAATAATATCATATCATGGACTTATAAGAATATTATGCTCATAAAAATGTTTAGTACTCCATATTCTTTAATTAAGTCACATACTCAAATATAAGAGTAATGTACGTGTGGAAAGAAAAATGCAAAAAATTACTACCTCTGTCCCATTTATATTGGGACGGAAGAGAGTGACACGGTTATTAAGAAAAGCGGGTTTGTGTGGTTGATATTAATTGATAAAGTAAGAATAAAGTAAGAATGATTTAGAGTCACACATGCAAACTTTGCCAAATATGGTATGAGACAATTTAAGTGTGACTTCCCGAAAAGGTAAAACGGGATAATATAAATGAGACGAAGGGAGTATTCAGGAAAACTTTTAGAGATTGAAATGTAAAAACTAAATATTGATAGAAACTGAAAAGCATAAACCTTACTAACTTTGAAGAAAGAGTCTATATTAGATGGAGAATAATACATGTGTCTCTCGCTACAAATCATGTCACGTGTTGCACGGGCCTATGGGCTCACCATGCGTGTAGATCATATACATAGTATTAGTTAATATATCAATTATTATAGCTATAAATATCTCTTGGTCATACTATTGCAAATGTTCAATTATTCATTCTTTCATATGAATAAAATGATATCTTTGCCACTTTCATTCTCAAACTTGTGAAGACAAAGATGTTTTGCCTCCATCCTAGGTGGAATCTCAAACAAGTATCACATGAAAAATTGAAGGAAAGCAAGGAAATTACAAAGCCGAAGGGATGTGAAAAGATTCTTATTAATTCCAAAACATAGGCTTACGAAGATCCTAACCTATAACATTCTATGATTGTGGTACTCAACATCATAAATATCCAGGCCACCTTTAGGTGATTGCTAAGAAGTTGTATCCTACCGCTTAGAAGATGTTTGGCTAGCAAATTTTTATCATGAAAGTTGAATCAATATGGAGCGAAGTCTCGCATGACAATCATGAGGCGGCGATAGATGGGCTTTTGCGAAACACACTTACCTTACATGAAATATATGTTACCTTTGGATGCCATGAATTCTTGTTGAGCAGTCTTCTCCAAAATTTGGCACACTTGACTGAGTCTTATTTTTCTAAGATGGAAGATCCCCAAAGCCCTCTTAGTGATCAATTCGGCTCCCTTAAAAGCTCGACCAAAGCATCTTTTAAAGGCCACTCTAGCCTACTTTGGACGACATTGGCTTCGACTTTGGCTAATGTTTGAGTGACTTCATTAGCCTTCTTCATAGTAACAGACAACATCCTAGACTCCTTTACGCCTTTACGGACTTGCTGGATGAGCTATTTAAGATCATCGTCAACCTCATTCAAGGAAGTCAGCTAGCTCTGCAACCTTGTCCTCAATCGGGGACTTTTTATGTTCACTTCAACATCTAGCCTCTATACATCTTCCTCTTGAGCCCGCAACCTTTTGAGTGTCTCCCATTTACCCCAGTCATGACCATTAAGGAGCAGGGGCGGATCAAGGAATTTTAGATGTCCTGAGCTGAATAGAAATTATACTAGGTTTAAATATTAGAGGGGTGAGCTAAATGTGAAAAATGAAAAAATTTAGACTAAAAAATTGATTTTTTAAAGTTGTCATGGGCTTCAACCCAGTATAGCCCTTGCATAGATCCTCTCCTGTTAAGAAGAGGACCATCAATCAGAATGACTCTTTGTAAGCGTGCACGACGATAATTGGCATCAACCGATTGGCTAAGAGTGTAACAATGAGGAGACTTATAGTCATCTGAATCGTCTCCACCAAAGTGGGGAGGGGAGGGGGATCGCCTAACGCTAGAATGGGGAGCAATGGCCTTGGAAGTTCACCTATGAAGACTTGAGTTTCATCTCTTCCCTTTGCTTCTTCTCTAACCACCCCACAAGCTAGCTTGTTGGAAACATTTGACACCTTCATCTTCTCCTTCTCCTTCAGATGACAAATGTGATGCCATGCTACACCATTGGATAAAGAAGCTCACTATATCACCTTAGAAACAACACACAGCACTCACACGATTAATCGTGTGCACATACTTTAGAGACCTAATGAAACAGCCTCACCGATTAATCCATCATAGCTATAACCACATCCCCCTAGCAATCTAATTGAAACAGTAATGTTTGTGATCTTCATGATCAACGCTTAGTGATCCAATATCACTAAGCATGACCTTCTTGATCACTGTCGAGATTGCTGCATTAGTATGCCATAATATGATAATTGAATCGATTAGTCAGTGGTGAAAGTTTTACCACCCCTACAATGGGTGAAATCAGATCCGTGAAAGTTCATAGCCATCATCTTCCACCTCCGGGCCTATTCATTCCAGATTCATTCCTCTATGTTACTGAAACTGATATATACAGAGTATCAATTACGGGAACATCACAAAAGATGAACTATTTGTTGGAAATTTAACACTATTGCAGTTACATAAGAATAAAATAAATATATTAAAGACCCTTGCATTCATTGATGGGGAAAGAGAACCAAACGAGTTTTACAGTTTGATAGGATAAGAACAGCAAAGAAAAACCGATCTATTCCTTAATCCGCCGGAAAAACGCAACACTCATGCGCCTTTATGTACAAAATTAGCCACTACTGATGTCAATCGCGCAATCCCATATCACAACTCCGGGGGCGGACCAAGGCTGAGATCGAGATTCAAGCTTTTCTCCGCCGCTCCGCCGCCGCCGCCAAAATGGTTCTCCTCCGCCACAGAATAGGTGGTTGGGTACCTGGGTTCTCTGTCTCTAGATGGATTAAAAGGGCCAATCGGGCCCACCTGGGGGTGGTTCACCGTTCCGGGTCTCCACAGCGTCTCGAACAGAAAAACCTGCTGCCCGTTCGGCAGAACCGCCACCGCCGGCTGAGGGCGGAAGATCTGGTACCCGTTACCCACGGATCTATCCACCGCGCCGGAACCGTCGCTGTTTCCCGAGCCAAGGGAGCGCGTCAGATCCAGCTCAAGCGGGGCGCGCGGCGCGTGGCCGCCACTGTCGCTGCCGGAGGACTCATCGACGATGCTGCTCTGGCTGGGGCTGTGGGTCGCCGAGGAAAATGGGAAGTTGGTCTTCGCCTTGGGCCCACGGAACTTGAGGGCGGCGGCGTCGTAGGCCCTCGCCGCCTCCTCCGCCGTGTCAAACGTGCCCAGCCAGACACGGCTCTTCTTGCCGGGATCGCGGATCTCCGCCGCGTACCGGCCCCAGGGCCGCTTCCGGACCCCTCTGAAGTGCATTTCCTTAATGGCGGCGTACCCTTTGCCGGCACCGCCCTTAGAACCGCCGTCATCTTTCCCTTTCATGGCCATAGCGGCGGGCGCCTAAACCTAGAGGTGGAGAAAATGAAAGGAGTTAAGACAATGGGGGGAGTTACGGTGAGAAGAGGAAAAAATGGCGTGGTTTAAATAAGGCTGGAATAGGATGAGAGGGAAGAAATCGGCAGTGGGTGGGGCCCGCGTAAGGAGGCGGTCAACGGGACAGGATTAATTACTTCCTCCGTAGGTGGCGCCGCCCAATTGTAAAAGGGAAAGTATTAAAAAAATGTCTGTCTGAATATTTGGGAGATAAATATTTTCCTGCGGGGGTTACGTGGCACGCGGCCGTTTCAGAATACGAGCCGTGTGAATATTTGGCTGCGGGTGCTTTTCTGGGAGGCGGCCGATCTACTCTGGATAGATATTTCCCCCCTTTTATCTGACACCCATCATCGCATTTACGAATTTTCTTAATTTGATTACTGCTCGAAATTAATTTTTTTTCTTAAGATCCGATTTAAATGCGGAAAATACGAAACCATCGGAATGTGTATGCTGCATCTAGGGCTTGGAGATTTGGCGACCTTTTTCCGCCGTAAATTAGCTAGAAAATGGTGGCACACCAAGAAGATTTGTAATATTTCTGGTAAAATGGCACTAACTTAAAAAATAAATATGTAATAACTTATTCAAATTTGAGATTTGTAAAGACTTCATGATGAAATAAATTAAACACGTATTTAATAATTTGAATGAAAGTGATAAATTTTTTGTGACAATTAATAGAATATTTTTAATTGATTTGGTTTTAGTTTCATCTGATACATAAATCCATTAGAACATATCAGATCAATTTGAAATCGACAATATTTGATTTCGAAAATTGTAAAATACACACAAGATATGCATTTACTAATTTAGGTTATACTAGTTGAGGACTTGAGGCCAGAAAAATTACCTTCTAAGAATGTTTTCATTTTGATTGTTTTCAGTTCCCCACTAAACGTAAACAAACCAAAATTAAACATACCGAACCAGTCCAGTTCAGATCCGATCAAACAAGATCAAATCATACTTGAACAAACCATAACAGGCCAAAACAGACCAAAAAAGAATTTTTTTTCCAATTACAGACATCCTAATTAAAAATATCCTTAAGAGAAGGAAATAAGAGGGAAAAATCGCTAAAATATTACTTCTACACTCTTTAAACACAAAAATATGATTAGTTTTCTTTTTTATAAAAATACAACTAATACAGAATACATCTTTTTTTACCCCAGGGGGCGTCAGGGGGAGGGGGGCTTGGGGTAAACTGAATTCAATCTCACTCCATTGAGAATTGAACTCGGGACCTCCCATAAGGGAGAGTGAGTCGGTGATCAGCTGGGCTCGACCGCTTCCTCATAGAATACATATTTAATTGATATTTTTTCTTTTAATTCTAATAAGTACCCAACTTCTCACACCCCCACCCTCCACCCCAGCCTGCCTCAATGCATCCTCCGGCAATACTTGCTGGCTGAGGTCGTCAAAAAATCCATTAGATTTCTTTTGTTTTTTTGAATTTTCATCGGAAAATGTCGCTGTAAATTGACATGTATCACGGTGGCAATGACATTTATGACAATGATAGTGACATGTGTTAGTGACATAAAATTCGGATAGTTGCATAAAACATTGACAGTGACTATGCAACTTATACCGTGAACCCGTTATACCATGTGCATGAACACCTGTCTCAATAAAGTATCATTTTTAATTAAAAAAAAACACAATAAATACCCTGATAGAGTTCATAAATCAATACATTCATACACATTCATCTTCTCCATTTGAGCTCAATCTCTCCTAATTATATATGCTTGGATCCCATATAATCCATCATTTTAACGAGGCATCTCCCCATTGTGGATCAAAAGGTGTCGACCCTCGGCCCCCCTATTAAAGACATCACGAGGCATGCACTACTCTACTCCTCTTCACCTCATTACATTCACCTCAAGGAGTGGGGGACTGGAAGAGCGGGGGACTTAGCACCACCGTTAACCAAAGAAGCAGAAATTCCAAATTTTTAACGAAGTTTACTCACCAGATGATGACAGATCAGCACACTGTTCTACTCTCTTTCGCCTCGAGTACTCTCGACTCAGAGAGTGGGGGACTCCTGATAGAGTATATAGACTCGGATCCCGGGTATCACGACTATTGGGCCTGGACAGCGGCCCACACACACTTACCTGATAGCATTTACATTATTGTACAGTCTTTATATCATTTGTATCTATTAGATTAGCCATTTATGTAGTTGGGCTTTTCAGCCCATATTAGAGGCCCGACCCATTGTTTCTCTATTTATACTCCCCATGGTAGGTCTTGTAAAACCTAAGTTCATAAATCAATACATTCATACACATTCATCTTCTCCATTTGAGCTCAATCTCTCCTAATTATATATGCTTGGATCCCATATAATCCATCATACCCCTTTACTCACATTTCTTATCCTTTTTAGCCAATCTTTGTAGTCTTCTTTCCCTAGTTTTTTCTTTCTTTTCTTCTTCAATCATCTTCCCCTTTATCATCAAAATATTTGGAATCTAACCCCAATTTCATTCTTTTTCATCTTCAAGATTATAACTTTATCTTCTTCTTTTTTTAAACACGGTAGGTAAACCACCCCTCAGTGGGACAAATGTTGGGGAACATTTGCCAGATTTTATTTAAAAAGATAAAGTACACTGAAGAGAGGGGGACCAAACCAAAACCTCTCCGAAGCGGCATTTCTCTTCAAAGTACAAACAAAGCAAAACGTCAAAAACAAAATAAGTTGGGGGGGGGCAAGACATGACCCAACTTACCAACGCTAAACAATACATTCGAAAGAAGGAATATTAAATAAATCTAGGAAATAAGAACTTTTAACCAAAGGAGGAATAGATGGACTAGTTTAGCATTGCAAATGGGCCTCGTGATAATCTGCCAAATAATGGCCTGACCAATTTCCTTCATGCAAAACATGCCCAAACAAAATATTCTTCCGCTTTGCTAAATCCAAAAGAGAGGAGAGGTAGTTTGTTCGTAAACCAGTCCGGTTGCCTGAAACTTGCTCCAGCACTTCCAACGCATCAACTTCCACCTGAAAATCAACGTAGGCGAGTGTCTGTCGCCCATGTAGTAGTAAAAGCATAGCCGAAAACTCAGCTTCTAAACTCGACGAAATAGAGAGAGGGAACTGAATGGAGAAGATGGGTTCTCCTCTTGCATTTCGCATCATCGCATCTCCATATGCCGTTTGAGGTCAGAACGAAGCATTGATGTTTAATTTCAATTTTCATTTAGGCTTACTGCAACATTTGAACAATCTATTGTTCAGATGGAAAGAAGAGGAAACTAGATTTTCTTGGAAAGGAACATCCCCAATAGATCGAAGCTTCATATTAGAAAGAGTTAGGGTCCAGTTCTGGGTATATGATTTAATCGGCCAAATAGTATTGTCTAAAAATGGAACATAAGTCATATTGCAATAGATCGATAGTCAATGTTTTATTCATAATTGTGCTCCCTTGGACTTATGTTATCACTAAGTAAGCGAGAGCTTATGTGATATAACATAAAGTCCTAAAATAGTCCTAATCAATGATCATCAAGAAATTAAAGGATATTGATAATATGCGGTAATATTGGTATACATAGACTTCATCATATTTGAAGAAAGTGTAGTTGATCGATCTCAAAACTATGAATTCCTGATAATCATGATGGTCGCATAGATATTTTAGAGAATATTGGCATATCATCAATAAGTTATATGATAAGTTATATTCATGTGTCTATAGAATTATAAGCAGATCGCGTAGTGTAATAGTCGCATCCGACTTGAGGTCAATACATATTTCATGTGTGGAGTGTTGTACTTTGACCATGACCAACGCTTGTACTCCAAAAGAGGTAGATATGTCATGTATTGGGTGCATCACGAAACACATGAAGTAGTAGTTGAGTCAAGAAAGGATTCATTCCTCGTAATAGATTAAGAGAGAACATTCTACTTTTCATATCTAGATGGATCATAAAGTCATTGGCCAATGCAAAGATATGTTCGTTTTGGATATCAAATATGATCATTATGGATCATCTAAAAAGATTGAGAGATGGAGACTAAGTTATTGGAATGGACTAAGTTATTTCCCGCCAAGAGATTTCCTAGTCTTTCTCTAAGGAATATCGATCTAACTGTTCTTTCGTAAAAGAGAAATCATGTGGATCTCTAAGGTCAAGGATGCTTATCGCTAGGCTGGAAGATCCGTAAGTTTAAACTTCCACTGTTGTAATTTCGAGGTACGTTACATAAATTTCCAAACAGTGATACCTAAGGATGAGCAAATACCTAGAGAGTGAGAATATGTAACTTATGAAAGATACATAAAACTACGTAAAGAAGACGGGAGCAAAGCTTCTGTGGCAGGGTTTGTAGCCGCAATTGAGTCGGCGGAGTCTTTAGCAGCAATCTCTTCAGCGAGAGAGAAGAAAATGGATGGAGGGCGTCACGGACAGTGAAGCGCATCTATGGCCAGTGGAAAAGCCTTGTTCCTAACGAGTAGCAGATTGATGACAGGCGAAGGGTTGGGAGAAGGTCAGAGTTCATTCGAAGATGAATGATCAATCAAAGCAGATGGTCTAGCCTCCTTCCAAACCACCGCCATGGAATGAAAGAGGTGTTAGGGTTCGAAGAAATTTACTCTATGTAAACTACCTTGCGTCAAGCCTATCTTATGCACATTAGAGTAAGGAAGGAAGCTTCAGAGCTGCGATTGCTTCTCCCCCTTGCTTAGTTTGTGGGAAACTAGCTTTTAATAGACCGAGGGATAAGGAATTTGACTCATTCACATCCAGATCATGAATGTTCGGGCATGTTACCTAGTATTCAATCTGACTTCAAATACTTTTATACGACCAGCCGCCTATGAGTTATTGTTATTTTTTATTCATTGTAATTACTCTTTTCTATCTCGTGTGTAGTTTTTTCTTTCGAAATCAGATCTTGTGTGGGTTGTTAGGTTTTTTGTTTGAGGAGTGTAAGGAATAAATTTGACAAAACTCTCTTTCAGATTTCAGTTGCT